AATGTTTCATATTAACGCTTAAAATAATATTGTAAATTTCAACTTAGATACAGAAAATTTGAGTAACATTTATTCATATCTTTTTCAAATAGATAAAAATAAAAATAAATGAATTTTATCTATAGTTCATTTCTTTTCTATAATACCTATCAAATTGTTGTAAAGTTGGCAAAATTAACAGGGAGTTTTGTTTTATCATGTTTTGAAATAGATATGTCACACTAACGTTTGAGCTTTCGTTATTCAGGTGCATAAAAAGTGTTGTGGGGTGTTTATTTGTCATTTATTTACCTAGAAAAGGTGTTTTATTTTATTTAATTACTTTGTAGCACGTTTTTACAATAAATATGTACTTCGTTAAAATCGTATTTATCTAAAAATGTATTAGTATTTTAACCTCAACTATTTAGATACTGATAATTTTACTAAAAATCAGGAAAACAACATAAATTTTATAAGGGTACTAGATACTACCAACAGAAACCCTAAAAAATTTACATTGACAAGTATTATAGAAAAAAAACGAACTATACCACTGCTTGGATAAGTCATCATTACCGCACTCATTTGAGGTGATTTGAGTTACGTAATGAAGTTCATTACCGCACTGGTTTCATTACGTAACGCATTTTTAACCTAATCAGAACAGACTTAATTTATTGAAACGAGCAACAATACAAAAGAAAAAGTGCTATCTACTTACAGAGAAACAATACTATTTACTATAAACATTAATTGTTATGTTTTTACATTTAAAACACTTATTCCAGATGAGTAAACATGTTGAAACTGACAATTCAAAATTGACAACAATCATTTCAAAATATTTTTATAAATGTCAAATAGACTTTTTTAAAGAAATTGACTTTTTAGTAATTTTTAGCAATCGTAGATAAAATGCTGTATATCACAAGTGCATAATTACAGTACTGTAATTTTAGTTGCTTTTGTATTTTAGTTATACTCTGATAAAAAGATCGTCTCACGAATAATTTTTTAATTTTATTATCAATTACGACCGATTAATTTCTTTTATTTATAATTATTACATCTTCCATTATTACTGGAGATTGAGTTATGCGAGCAAGCCAAAAAGTATTATTTAATTCATTTCTGCACCCAAACAAATAATTCGTTATAGCAATGTGAATGGTCATCAAAATCAGTCGGATGCACAAATTATTGACGCAATGTATTTGTCTGCAGTACAATAAACTTTATCATAATTTTTTTCATCGAGCGGTTTCGAAGATAGTAAAAATTCGTTGAAACAATAATTTTTGTAACGTCATGTTCAATAAATCGGATTTCGTAGTATTAAGAAACGCGTTATCTAATCATAAAAAGACGGTTACAATTTTTTCATTATATTGATGAAAATTTCATTGTGACGATAGATAACTTTATGTAATATTAACAATTTAAAAACTTAATATACTATTGTTTAATTAAATTGTTTTGGAGATAACGTCACTCGTTTGCGAAATTCAAGTAGCTTATGATTTGATTTTTTCATTTCCGTTCACCGACCTAATCGGGATCTGGAGTCGAACGGGACGTGGCTCGAGTAAGGTCTAAAAAGATCTTTTAGGTTTATTCTACTTTTTTTTATTATTAAATTATTATTATTATTATTATGTTCCACCATTTATTCTTGTATTCAACGTATTCAACGTATTAGTTCATTAGAACTTTTTTAGGTTCCACTATTCGAGGTTTGAATTTTGGTAACATTCCAAATTTTCGATCTAAAATACTTTCGAGATGGCCGTCAGTTCTCACCTACCGGAAGTAAACCACTACTTCGTTATTTTAAATTGAAATAGTTTTTATTACACCTTTTACTTGAATCTACACATATCTGAGAATCTGGAATACTCACATATCATTACAATTAATGGAGCCGTTAAAATGTTTTCGATTTGCGTGGTTTTTTTATCTACAAAGATTGCTAAACATTTGATAACAATCACTTTGAACATATCGATAGAGCGAATCAGAATTTAAATCGTGATTTCTTTTAAAATGGAAAACAAGCAACTTAGTGCATTAATTTTTTTTATCTACGAATAAATAATAAGTCATCATTACCACACTCATTTGAGGTGATTTGAGTTACGTAATGAAGTTCATTACCGCACTGGTTTCATTACTTAACGCATTTTTAGCCCAATCAGAACAGACTTAATTTATTGAAACGAGCAACAATACAAAATAAAAAGTGCTACCTATTTAAAGAGAAACAATACTATTTATTATAAACATTAATTGTTATGTTGTTATGTTATTGAAACTGACATTAATTCAAAATTGTCAACAATCATTTCAAAATATTTTTATAAATGTCAAAATTGATTTTTAAGTAATTTTTAGCAGTTGTAGATAAAATGTTGTGTACCACACGTGGGCTAGAGCATAATTACAGTACTCGTGTGAAACGATTCTTCACACTCATAGAGTAAATATGTTTCTAGCCCACTTGTAATATAAATAACTATTACAAATGAAATGTATCATTATGTCAACCAAAAAGAAACATGAAAAATTTGTTATTATTAATAAATGCGATAATGGAAAAAAGTTAGTTATTTGTTACTTTTTAAGAAGGAGTATAATGGAGTATATAATATGTCAATTTGATTATTAAGGAGGTTAATATATATGTTTTTACATTTTTTGTGGCTATCAATTATTAATGACCCATAATCTTTTAAATATCAAAATCGATGTAAGTGATCAATTTTGACATTTAGATGATTATGAAGTAGTTTCAGAAAATGCAGCCATCTAGAATAGATCTTTGTTATGGATTATGCTTTTTTGGTTCAAAATGAACAATTTTCGTGCAAAACATTCTTCTCTATCGCTTGTAGTTTCTGACTTATGGCAGATTTATGAATCTAAGTGATCGACTTTGAGATTTAGAAGATTATGGGTTAGTTTGCAGAAAATGCAGCCATCTATAAGAAATTTAGGGTGTAGATCTATGTTGCAAGTGAATTATTTAAAAATAAAACGAAAAAACTTCTTAACTTGCTATATTTAACAAATTTGAAGTCAAACTAGTTTCGGGGCTAGCCCCATCCTCAGTGACAACTGAATTTAAAAGGAGAAAACAATGTTAAAATCATTCGAGAAAATATTAAATTAATTTTGGACAATATTGAAGCTAAACTTATAAAATATATAAAAATGTAAATGACGAACAGGAGCAAAAACAAAAAAACGAAAAAACTTATAAAAACTATTTAAAAAACACATTAAAACATGTTAAAAATATAAAATATAAAATCCCAAACAACTACTTACTGTCAATAGAAGACTAATATTGTAAAGTGAAGATCATCAAAAAGGCAATTGAATGCATGTATAAAGCTGAAGGCGATATAATGCGGTGTTAAACGTGTACAGCAAAATGATTAAAATGGCGACAGCAAAAAGACACGTTATTTTAAACGCTAAAAAAGAGAAAAAATAAAAATAAGTAAAAATTAGACAAAAGAAGAGAAGAGAAAAAAAGAAAAACAATAAAATAAAAATAAAAAAAACTAAACGCAGGTAAAAATCACTTAATAACAAAGATATACCTTGTTAAAAAATAACCAAAAACCATGTTGAACCTTTAAAGAGACGTGAAGAAACAAGACTGAGGACAAATGTGAAAAACACACTGAAAAGAAATGAAGAAAGAAAAAGAGAAAAAAAAAAGAAAAAGTGAAATAGAAATATAGAATTTAAAGAGCGCCAAGAATGAATATAACTTGTAAATTGAATTGTTATTTTAAATTTAGGTATGTAAATAAAGGTTTATACAAATTTTGAATTTGATCATTTAAAGTTCTATAATTATTGTTTAAATTCAGTTTGTGAATCTCCGAATAACAGTAGGTTTTCTGTAAATGTTATAATCTAATTTATCAAATTTAAAGAATTATTACTTTCAAATTCTGTTGTAAAGTTAAGTTTAGGATGTATATTATTTAAAAAAGTTCAAAATTTATTTGCCGAAGCTATATCCCCATCCCAAACACAAAATACATCATCTACATAACGAATCCAAGAATGGATATTGTTCTTAAAAGGATTGACATTATTAATAATATAAATATTTTCTATATGATCCAAGAAAATGTCAGCAAGAAGACCTGACAGTGGCATTCCCATTGGAAGTCCTTCTGATATATGAAAAAATTCATTATTAAAAGTACAGAAATTTTGTGTAATAACATGTTTCAGTATTATATTACAATGTTCTATTGATATGTCATTATTAAAAAAAATCCTTAAAAATTGTTGAGGTTTGTGGCAACCACCACAATTATAAATTAAATCATAAATGAATTCATCAAAATATAAATCATAGTAATAAGTTCTTTTTTAACAAAAATTGTAAATCCATAGAGATACAAAAAGTGTTGTTTATTATTATTATTACAAAAATAAAAAGTCAAGTCACTTTGTAACGCAAATTGGTTTTACTCTCTTTTTAAATTGTCCCACAAATTGGTGACCCCGAACAAGAACTAACCCGACATCGAAAAAGAAGTAACCCAACGTTAAGTTATAAGAACCCGACGTTTTGGAGAAAGAAGTGAAAGATTTGACGTAAATTAGAATTGTCTTAAATAACCTTTCAGTTTCTATTGATAAAAACTCACAACAACTTCATCAATGGCAATCAAATATCCAGACGAGCATTAACTCTCTTGCTGCTCGACTTAACGAACCTGACATAGCAACAAATCTTTGCTATAATTGTAAGATGTTAAGGTATCGATCACCTCGTCCAAGAAGTTCTTCCAGGCAACGTCAAAACCATATCTGTTATTATCATTCCAAGTATGGCGATAAAGCACGAAACTGCGAAAAAGAACGTGTTACGGTTGGAGTTGATTTTGATTTTTTTTTTGAGGGTTTTTAAATGATATTCAAAGCGCAATGGTTTATATTCGTTTATTTTATTGCTCGATGCAAAATTGAAAAATTGTATTTTATTTTTGTTTGAAAACATGTGGCGTGACGTCGAACTCGGAAAACCAGTTTGTGCGTGGACGATTGGTGCATTTTTCTGAAAAGAAGAGTTGAACGAAAGGTTTTGGGAAAGACGTTCGTTTAGAGTAAAAAGTTCTTACTTACCTTAGAAAAAGGGAATTTATTGAGCGATTATTCTATCTCAGTGTAGTGTGGTGTGTTTTTGAGTATTTTTGGTAAACATCATCACCATTCGCTTATGCGGAAGTTATAACCTTTCGAAAAGAATCTGTGGAAACCGACCAACAACTAAGGTTTGTACACCATCTTGGCGTGAATTATCGATTTATCTAGAAACAAAAATTAATTTAAATATATTTAACTGTATCTAGGTTTCAACTTATACTAGTTTTCAAGATAGTACTAGTTTCGAATTTATAAAACTACTGTTCTACTAATGTTCGAGTACTTACCGTACTTAATTAATCAGGAGCAGATTGATTGGAGATCTTCATAAGTGTTTACGTCATTGCTAGCGTGGTATCCTGGTGAACCTTGGTGGAGATCTAAAACAAAAAAAAAAGAAGATTAACCAGATAAGTGAATTTAACTAATTTAAATTACGAATAAACTTACCTGTGTCGAGTAACTAAGATTGAATTCTTTATTTCGGTATTATCGTGATTGTACTTACCTTATTTGTTTATTGAATTCAACATCTGAGTTGAATAGCTTAATGATTTTTTTTTTTCTTCGAAGTATATCATTTATTTGATTAGGAGTATTAATTGATTTTGATTTCAATAATTGAAGTTAGTAAATATTTTTTTGTTTTGTTTTCTTTATTTTGTTCGAGATATTATTATTTTTTTTTATGCATTTTCTTAAAGGCCTCTACAGACGGACGTTTATGTCCGCGTTGATGTATGCACATTCAAAAACGTACATACAAAAACGGCGACGCCTACAAAATGCTGATCAAGAAGCTGCAGGTTGTTCAGCCAAACGCGACCAAAGCTTCAGTTATTACTAAAATAAATAGTCTTAGAGGAGGTTTTCGTAGGGAAAATAAGAAGGTTCTAGACTCCAAAAGAAGTGGTGCGGGTACCGATGAAGTTTATGTACCTTCACTGTGGTACTATGACCTACTGCTGTTTCTTCAAGACCAGGACAAACCTAGAAAGTCGGCTTCGAACATCCCTAGTGATGACGACGACAACAATGTGGTAGCAGACGAAAGTAATGAACGGGAACAGGAAGGTGATAGTGTTGCTGAGACTGAGAGAGAGGTTGCTGAGACTGTAGCTGTCACTATATCATTCTTTCTTGCCACGATACAGCTCCTTCTTCATTAAAATACTGCATAAATAATTGTCGCACTTGCTCTGCTTCACTGCCAAAGTTCCCACCATGGCTACGTTGCAGGTGAGTAAGGTGACTTGGATTAGCTGTCAGACCTGATTGCAAACTTCCTTTTTCGAAATCAGAATCAGGTGGTGTGTATATGTTAGGGCAGCTTTGTTTTAAAAAATTATGAAGTACACACCAAGCCAGTACCACTTTGTCTATCGATTCTAAGCGTAACCGGATAGGAGTGTAAAAGATTTGAAATCGTGCTGCTAATATGCCAAATGTATTTTCAATTTTACCTCATGCCCGTGCCAATCGGTATTTAAAATTTTTTTTGTCATGATTAAGATCTTTCTGCCTGCCTATAGGGCTTTAGGAAATCAGAACGTAATGCAAACGCTTCATCACCAATGAAAACGAATGGCAGTTGTCTTTGACTGTTCTGTGGATTTAGTGAGTCTGGTAGATGCAAAGTTCCGTTTTTCAGTTTCTTATAAAACTTAGTATGTGCAATAACTCCTCCATCGGATATTCGACCATTGTTACCAAAATCGCACATTATGAATTCGTAATTTGCATTACATATGGCCATAAGAACTAAACTGTTGTAGCCCTTGTAATTATAATAATATGCTCCGCTACCTGGTGGCGGTATTATTTGAACGTGCTTACCATCTACCGCCCCCACGCAATTAGGAAAATTCCAAAGTTTCTCAAAGCCTTCAGCAATAGTTGTCCATTCCTCTTCTGTTGTAGGGAACTGAAAATGATTCCAAGCAGAACTTGGAAAAATTTCCGAAAATACGAAAATTATAACAGAAATAATCCAGCCAACAGGACGCAGCAACACCTTTAACCATCACGATTTGAACCAATTAGCAACAAATAACTTAACTTATCAGTTTCCTTTTGAATCTTCGGCTGAGCAAAATACGACTTCAACATATTTTTCTGGGTATAGTCACACATGATTTATATGAACAATTAATATATATTTTTTTTAATACCCAATCATGCTTCTGTTACTTTCTAAAATAAATGTTTTTCTTACCTTCATGTATTCTTTATGCAGCACTTCATATATAGCTTCACATGTTTCCGGAATTATTGTACATAAGGATTGTGCAGATATTGCAGTGGTAAATTTCAAATCTTGGTAGTTTCGTCCAGTCGCTAAATATCTTAGGGTTGCAGTTAATCGTTCGTGTACACTTATTGCCGGTCTCATGATTGTATTTTGACGTTGTATCAATGGAGTTACCATCTTCAACAGTAGCGAATAAGTATCTTCGTCCATTCTAAGATAATTACGCCAATCATCCGGTTCTATTGTCAATTCTGCCAATAGGTTAATGTGAGAAAACCTTTGCCGTTGCAGAAGCCAATTTTTACACCACACGCGTCGAGTTTTATTTTTTTTATTCTTGATTTTGAGCACATTAGCGCACGCCACTGCTGCCAACGCTAAGTCAACCACTTCCTTGGACATCGTTCAGCCACTAAGCAAAACTGCGGATTTTGTACGTGCGCCTGTACTCTGACCTAGCATACGTTTTTGTATGCACGTTTTTGGATGTGCAAACATCAACGCGGGCATAAACGTCCGTCTGTAAAGGCCTACAGACGGACGTTAATGTTGTTGTGAGGGGAAACATAAGCTTATGCGGACCAGAGTTATTTTTTTTTTGTTATTGATTTTAAAAAGGTATTTTGCATTGCTTTGGAGTTTGAAATTTCTCTCAAAAATTTCTGGCGCTCAACATTTAATAAATTTAATTCGTATTATTTTTTTTTACATCACTGTTTTATTTACTCACACCCGTCTTCACTGAATTAGCCGTAAGCACCCGCAATAGGGTTACATATATATATTTTTTTTTTTTGTGTCAAACGTATGTTTTATAATTCCTTTAAAGACACAAATCTTTCATCATCTTCACAGAACCAAAAAAACTGAAACAAGTTTCGCTAGAGAACAACAATTCAATAAATTCAAAATTTAATTCAAAACAATTCAATGAACGACGAACGCACCCGATAATTAATCAAATCAGTTCTCGTCTTTATGTTTACGATAACCAATCCAATTTAAATTTTCTGATTGATACAGGAGCAGACATCTCTGTGCTGCCTTATAAATTCTTTCGTAAACATAAGAGAGATACCATTTCTACATTAACGGCTGCAAATGGTACGCCAATAATTACCTATGGAAAAAAATTGTTAAAAAAGAACTTATTACTATGATTTATATTTTGATGAATTCATTTATGATTTAATTTATAATTGTGGTGGTTGCCACAAGGTTAATTCTAGAGTTAAATCTATTGGAACATTAGAATAAAGATTAGTAATATCAAAGGAAATTAAAATTTTGTTATGAAAATTAAGAATTTTTGTTTTATCTATAAATTCTGAAGAGTTTTTTACTGTGAAAATTGGTTTAAAATCAATTAATTTAAAAATATTTAATAAAAATTTCGAAATTTTAGCAGTAGGTGAAGAATTAAAAGCTGTTATCGCACGAAAGGGAATGTCTTTCTTATGGAGTTTGGGGAGGGAATACAATCTCGGTACTGTAGGATTCATTGAAATAAAATATAAACTGCAAAAATATGTTTTTCCTTTCAGAAAAGGTGTGTACTCCATCAGTGTCTCCTTACATAGATTGATAAGATTTCTAGTATTTTTAACTATTTTATCTAGGGGGTTGAAATTTATTTTTTTATAGTTATTATTATTCACAAAATTATATGTTTTATCTAAATAGACATTTTTATCAATAATTACGACACCCGCACCCTTATCTGCTTTCACAAATATAGCTGCTTTCATCATTTTCAGTAAGTTTTTTACGTATTGATTTAATGATCTTCCAATGTGAAGGGTTAAAGTTAAAATTATTCCTATTACCACCGTTTAGAGATTTTTCAGATTTTTTTTTAAACAGAGATCAATTGATTTTTAATTTCATTGATTTGTGGGTGGTGTTTAATTATAATATCAAAGTCTATTGTAAGTTTTGGTAAATTAATCCAACGTTTACAAACACAAAATTGAAACGGGGCATAAAATTGATTATGATAACACATCTTTAATTCACAAATGTCAGAAGGGTTTTAGGTTGGATCTTTTGGAATTGCTGGAGATTTACAAACTGAATTTAAACAATAATTATAGAACTTTAAATGATCAAATTCAAAATTTGTATAAACCTTGTCTTGTTTCTTCACGTCTCTTTAAAGGTTCAACATTGTTTTTGATTATTTTTCAACAAGGTATATCTTTGTTATTAAGTGATTTTTACCTGCGTTTAGTTGTTTTTTATTTTTATTTTATTGTTTTTCTTTTTTCTCTTCTCTTTTTTTTTTGTCTAATTTTTACTTATTTTTATGTTTCTTCTCCTTTTTAGCGTTTAAAATAACATGCCTTTTTGCTGTCGCCATTTTAATCATTTTGCTGTACACGTTTAACACCGCATTATATAATAAGAATAATAATAATAGTTTATTGGCATAACAATACAATATAGGTAATACATTAAAATAACTAAGTATAGAGTTTGCCAAAGGGTATTTCCATCAGTAAGCCAAATTATGGCGTCCTGGTCTTCCTGGAAATCCCATACACAAAAAAAAAGAAATATATAAAAAAAACAAAATAAAGTAATAACAAATCAAAATTAAATTCAACCTGAAACAATTATCGTGGCCGATAAGTAAAAAACGAAAAAAATATAAAAAATGAGGAGCCTAAACAAATAAAAATTAATAAATGTCCCTAACAAACTAAAAAGAAAAAAAATATATATATATATACACTAATTCCAGTTGAAGGTAGAACGACGCGCTA